AGCCTAAAAAAAATAAACACGTATAAATATCTTGTTATGCTATATTATCACCAAATGTTGGATTTAATATTTTTTTGTCAGCTTGTTTTCTTTTAATTGGGACAGGTTTTGTGTTTATTTTTGGAACTGATTGATTGTAGGCTCTGATCTGAGGATAAAGTTCATCTCTGTGAAAAAGAAAGCCTGTAATACTCAAAATAGTTTGTGCATGAATGTGTGGTGCCCATCCAAGTTAGTGCACAAACATAAGGAGTAGTGAGTAGTGAAGACACACACACACACAAACGGCAAAAACACACACCTTGAGCAGTGGGCAGCCATTTTTGCTGCGGCGCCCGGGGAGCGATTGGGGGTTTGGTGTCTTGCTCAAGGGCACCTCAGTCATCCTCAAAAAAGTACAAAAATTATCCAAAAAATTGGGGAAAGTAGTTATCCCCAGTGTGAGCAATGTCAGTAAGTTTTGTGATAACATTAACTAAGATTTTCGGGACAAAGAAAATCCACTCCGGGTCAATATGACCCGAGCACAACATAAACTCATTTAGGTCTTAATTAAAGGTAGTACAATAAATGCTTCCATTTAAAATGTAAATATGAATCTACAAAACTCAGTATTTTCCCCCGGGAGGATTCATTTTCAGACGCCCAGCAAGGTTTCTGTGTTTTTAGATAAACCTGCTTCCTTGATGTATTTTTCAATTTGTTAAACCTGAAGTACATGGCACAGTCATGCTGTGTATAGTCTAATCTCTGGCAATGTTCACTAACACACTTTGGTTAATTACGCTCAGTGTGGCACCTGTCGGGTGACAGTCTCAAGAAGACGATTCAATATAACCACCACATATAGTCAAGGCTGATCAATAGTGTGGTCTCCAAATCCTTCCTGGTGTCATATCGAGGCCGGTGAAAGCTGCGCCGTCTCCCGGATCAATACAGACTCAACTCCATTTAAACACCTTTTTTTAACCCACCGTCACAGTGTGATTCAGCCATTTGTGGAAATGAAATGACTTCTAGCAAGAGGGGCACCTTGTTCGACATAAAGAATGGTCAACCGCTTCGATCCATCAGAGTGAAATATTGTGTCGTAAGGAGGGCTTAATGACGAGCCCTTAAAAGGAAATCTGAAGCTAAATGTGAAGTGCTATTCAATAGATGTATTCACTGTCTAGAGAGAGACGTTTACTTTGTAGTATCCATTACCCTGACACTGGACTTATAGGTCTTTCTGTGATTCTTATTGGCAAATGCCTTTTAAAACTAAAAGAAACATCCATTTGCTCCATATATTTTAGCTTTACCTTTTCTACATTAAATTAAGCAGCACACATTAGGGGGCGACTTTCTCAGAGTGTATATTTACTATAAAATCTTGTGTAATATAATCCATTCTAAATTAGATAACATGTTTGTAGAGTGATTGATATATAGGTGTTTAAACATTAAGAGCCAGGTCACAAATCAGATATTCATTAAGATGAGTTCGGACAGGTCACAGGATTCATGACCAATATAGCAATCCATTTTGGACATTTTTTGTTGCATTCATTTGTTAAAAGTATGTTTTTGTAGTACTATGTTTCACATAACATACAATACAGTGCTCGGCTCCCTCCAGTGGTGAACTGTATTATCAATTTTGTGAGGTTAGGCTGCCCTCTTATGGAAAAACAAGTGAATATTCTTTAGGAATAAGATCATATGTTAGGTCTTTGGGATTAAATTCCTACACAAGCTGCTATTATCTACATAAAGAAAAAAGTGTTTGATCCCCTTTTTTAAAAGAAATGTTTTTTTTATGGTATTTGTCACCAACAAGATATAACCTTTGTCACCAAAGTCCATATAGATGGACTTTTAAGAATTTAGATATGCACGTAGCATTTCTAAATTCTTAAAAGTCCATCTATATGTCTAAATTCCACATCTAACTTATATCTATCCATCTATACAGTATGTAGCTGAAAGTAAAACATTTTGCAGAAACAAATTTGCCACATAATTGGTGGAAAATTTCACAATAATAGAGTTGTATTTTAAGGAATTATTGTACTCCACCTTAAAGATGTAATATTTGACATATGCTTTATTCTGTAAATGGGAAGATTGGAGGCACCTTCTTTGTATACTTATATCTGCATATTTACAGTATATCTGCATTATGTCTTTCATGGGCAATATGTGTTGAAAGTAGATTTTTACATAAAACATGCAACTGAGACTGTAAAGAGTTGTTTTTTTTAAGCATATTTTAACCCTTCACAGCCTATAATCCCTGCCTTCAGCATTACTTTAAAATCACAATGAATCAGTAAGTAGTGTCATCTTTTCTTCTGCATTATTATGTACATCTGAGTGTAACAGATTATCGAAAATGAAAAAATGTAGGGCAGCAAAATATCTACAATTGTCTATAGTTGTGATCACTTTCTTTTGATTTTCACTTTCAATTTTCCACCTAAGCTCATGAAAAATATGTGACTCGTTGCAACATTTCTGCAAACTTCCAAAAATGTGCCTGCAGTTTCCAACATATATTTTTTTTTGCACACAAGACCCTCCGTAGTCTGGCACCCAAAACATCAGTGATCTTCTTCCACCTTGTCATGGAGCACATATAATCCAAATTCGTATGTCTGTCTCTCCCTCATGGTGCACATGTAAGAGTGATCAGACATTTTCTGTATATCCCTCAAAGCTCTAGAATACCTATTCAACCTATTCACACCAGGGTCTCTCCATGGACTACTGCTCTTGTGTCATTCCCTTATTCCCAAGTGGTCCAAATTGTAATGTTCTAAAAAAATCTTTTTTTGTTGTTGTACTTTTGTAATTAAAAGCATCAATCACCTCAGATCTTAAAATTAAAGTCCCCCTGTGGTGAAAATCCAGCTCTTAATGTTGTTTATATGTATGGTGTTTTTAATATGCTAGATTAAAATGTATATGAATGATACAGATACATTACTAAGTAACCATACAGTGCAAATTAGTTAAAAGTGAGGAAATGACAATGCAAAGTTAACTCTGATTATTTGTTTCCAGATGGTTTATTATTTAGACACACTTTATTTTAAGATGACGTAGTTACCTTGTATTTACTCAAAAAAGTACAGAGTAATGTTAGTTATACATGTAGGCTACTTACTATAGAGTCACGGTTAGGGTTTGGTTTAGGGTTATTTTAATTATGCATAATTTACTGTTATTTCTATAGTAAGTATGTCACCTTAAAATAAATTAGTTACACTTTATTTTAAGGTGTCTGTGTCACAGTGTCACAAACATTTAAGAACTGAGTAATAAGCGGCCAATAGGGCGTCTAGCTCTTTATTATGTCTATGGGTGCCACCATAGGGCGCCACTGTCGGTAGTGAAAGCTGGAAGCGGCATGGCAGACTCAGCCGTTAAAATTACTTCGGCCTCTTCACAATATAAAGCCGATGTGTGGGTGCACGGTTTTAAAAACAAACCAGGGAGCATGAATTTCGATAAAACAAACGCAATATGCAAGTTTTGTCACGCTGCTATAAAATATTCAGGTAACACAACCAACTTCACCTCATCAGACGCCATGCAGAAATGACGTGAAAGAGAAGCGTAAGCATGAAAACATAAGCATAAACGTTTAATGGACACATGCAAATCTCATTTGAGTTGTATTTGTTTACATCACACTGACTATTTTAGTTTTATTAACGTTGTTCATAATATTTCACTTCATTGTTTACATTGACAGTAGGCCTACCTGAGCATCTGCACCTTTTTTTTTTTTGAAGGGTTAGTTCGGTATTTTACTCTTAAAGCCCTGTTTTAAGATCGTTTCTGATGAAATAGAACTGTTAAGATTGAAATTTGGACAAATGCTGCTGTTCCGAGAATTTTAGGTTTCTGTGTTAACACCCCCCACCTACACAATGGTTGTCTATATGCACTGGAACAATCATTCATAAGAAGCATTAAACTTTAGTTTACAAAGACGTAGTTTATCGTAGTTTTTGTCCGACTCCATTGACTTGACTTGGTACAAAAACTACAATAAAACCTATTAGAAAGCATCTTTTGCAGCGATTTTTGTGTGAGCATATCAGTGAACACCCCAGACCACTCGGTGAGTTTCACGTCTTTGTAAACTAACGTTTAATGCGTTTTATGAAGGATTGTTCCAGTGCACATAGACAACCATTGTGTAGGTGGGGGGTACTAACACAGAAACCTAAAATTCTCGGGACAGCAGCATTTGTCCAAATTTCAATCTTAACCGTTCTATTTCATCAGAAACGATCTTAAAACAGGGCTTTAAGTGTAAAATACCGAACTAACCCTTTAAGCTCAGCCCTACACAATCTCAGTGAACTAACTTAACTGTAAGTCAGTTTTCAATATCAGTGTGTCCATTGTTAAAAGTGCAAGTTTATTTTGTTTTGGCAGTTAAAAAATAAATTGGAAAGGAGATTTTGTATTATATTGTATTATATTGACCTTTTTCTGCTGATTTATCAATGTGATCTGATGTAAGACTACTCAGATGCACACCGTAACTTGTATTTTATTTAGTTTATTGTAAGAGAAAAAAAAGGCAAAAGCAAGGTAAATTGCATGTGTAATCATGGTTTATCTAAAAAAAAATCATTATATCTCATTGATGGAACATTGAAAAAGATTAAAAACTATTTACAACAAATTGCTTGCATTTGAGTTATTTGTTATGGATGAACATACATGCTAAAACCACAACCATCATACACCTGAAAACCTGTCCATGCAAGCAGTGACACCACAGTCAAACACATTCTTCAGTATGTAATTATTTCATCCAGTTAGCAGAAGAGAAATTAGATTTAGCTTTAAAACAAATTTGTAAGCATTTCATCAAGAACCAATATTTGGAGCACACAATGTCATTTTTAGTACACAAAGCCCATAGTTCTATCAAATTGAATGTTTAATCTGTACACAGTTAATCTTACATGACCTATGAGTAAATGTGGCAAGACTCAGTCATCAAGAAAAGACATTCCAATCTCTGACTGGAAGGCACTGTCCAACAGAGTGGGAGAAGTCACTTCTGAAGTCACACCTGCAGGGGAAGGAGGTGTTTATCCGAAGTATTCAATGACCATTAAACAACTGAAGGTGATTTTCTTAACATAGAGGAATGCCTTGACTAAACCATCATGGAGAAGATCAACTTATGGAAAGTATGACAATATTACATAATATCACTTGCTCACAATATCATTATCACTCACCTCCACAAACTCTTGGTCTCTTCCGACCAATTCGATCAATTGTGTACCACAAATAATTTTTTATTTCAGCTTCACAGTCTACCCTCATTACACTTTGTTTTGATGCTGCATCTGAAAGAGTAAACCCGAAGAATGAATTGGAAACATGTTGGATGGTAGTCCTTCAAACTCACAACCGCTCTTGTACACTTTAAAGATCAAATTGGCAGACATCGCAGAGTTCACCAAGTGATTGAATACAAACAAAACATAAGTAAATGAAAACTTTCTCAGTATGTGTGAAGTGTTCATGCAGTATTGACTTTACCTTGGATCACATCTGCTAAAATAAGCTTAGAGAAGGGCTTTTTATCTCCTCTCCCCTGCCAGTTGAACTCCTTAGCCAGATCATCTGTTAGGACTTGCTTCATAATATTCTTAATCACGTCCTTGGGCCCAAAACCTCCAAGCCTTGACAGGAATTTTACCTGTAAAGAAAATACTAAATGTTTTTAAAGTCTTATTTATTAATATTACATGTCTTGCAATACTTGATTCTTATTGGTCAAACACATCATTGAGTGTTCAAATATTTTTTGTGTAACGACCACAGAACTGTATATGCGCATGCGCGAGCAGTCGGTGTTTGTGTTTGAAAGCTCCGTCGAATCAATTCATTAATCCTTGATTTTCTTTTTTACCACTCATTTATAAACAAGCACTTTCTATTTTTATATCATGGGAACTTATCCTCGATACTATTCCTTATAAAAAACAATCGGATTGCTTTGATATCGCTACTTAGACCCAACTTTGCGAATCTCGGCTACTAGCCTTTAGTCCGCTAGCATTTCACGCGTGGCCTCGCGCCTATTGACCGTCTGATTTTACACCCGTTTCACTGAAAGGATACAGGTTATATCCGGCATTTCAGTCCTAAATTACTAGTGATATTGGTAGTATCACTACTAATCTACTGTTCATCTGTTATGGCGAACATATCAGATGTGTGTCTAACGTTACCTCTGAGTGCAGGTGAGGACACATTCGAACTGATTTCGGTACGATTGGAGCTTGAATCGGTGGAGAAACAGATCCGTGGTCTGCTAGAGAGGCAAGCCGAGCTGCGGGATCGGCGATCAGCGCTTGAAACGTCACGCGCCGATGCACACAAGTCAGTGGTTAGTAACTTTTTGACTCCGACTTCGTCCACTCCGTGCGTTTCTCTGCCCAGGAGGACGCAATCATCTCTGGCATCATTCACTCCGGCACCAACCCAACACCATGGACCATGGGTGATCCCACAGCGGAAGACACGAGCCAGGACCAGAGCAAGAACCTCTCCGCCCCTCCCGGTCTTCGAGATCTCCACCCGGAACCGCTTCTCCCCTCTTCGCGAGTCGGAACGCGACGACGCCGTGATCATCGGCACTTCCATGGTCCGTCATGTCCGTGCTACCTCAGGTAAGGGTAAGGTGCGCACTCACTGCCTTCCTGGTGCTCGTGTTCTTGATGTCGCCGCACAGGTTCCCCAGATCCTGAACGGTGAAGAGCGCGTCGGAGCTGTGGTGCTTCACGCTGGAACAAACGATATCAGGCTGCGGCAGACGGAGGTTCTGAAGAAGGACTACAGGAGCCTGATCGAGGTGGTACGCAGCACAGCGCCTGAGGCAACGATCATCGTGTCTGGACCGCTTCCCACGTACCGACAAGGACAGGAAAGGTTCAGTAGATTATTTGCACTAAATGAATGGTTAATGTCATTGTGTTATGAACAAAAACTGCTCTTTGTAAATAATTGGAATCTGTTCTGGGAGCGACCTAGGCTCTACCGTGCTGATGGCCTGCACCCCAGCAGAATCGGAGCGGCTGTTCTGTCGGACAACATCTCCAAGACGTTACACACCGTATGACTAGAAAATCAAATTCCAAATCACAGTCTTTGCTGTGCCAATTTAATTGATATAAGTAGTGTAGAACATTATATAGAAACTGTGTCTATTCCTCGTTTAGTGAGGCCAAATAATAAATCCACTGTAGGATCTAGGAAAAATCTTATTGTAATTAAACCTGAAAATCTAAATATCAGTGAACAAAAACAATTTCTAAAACTAGGTCTTCTAAACATTAGATCGCTCACACCTAAGGCGGTTATTGTAAATGAAATGGTCACAGATAATAGCTTCGATGTACTTTGCCTTACTGAAACCTGGCTTAAACCAAACGAGTATTTCGGTCTAAATGAGTCTACCCCGCCAGGATACTGTTATAAACATGAGCCCCGTCTGATCGGTCGTGGCGGCGGTGTTGCAACAATCTATTATTAATGTTATTAATACTTAGATATTATTAATGTTACTCAGAAACCAGGTCACAGGTTTAATTCGTTTGAAGTACTGGTGCTAAACGTTACGCTCTTAGATGTAAGAAAGAAATCCCTATTATCTCTAGCCTTGGCTACTGTATATAGACCGCCAGGGCCCTACACTGATTTCCTAAAAGAGTTTGCAGACTTTCTCTCAGATCTATTGGTCAATGCCGATAAAGCAATAATTGTTGGAGATTTTAACATACACGTAGATAACACAAACGATGCGTTAGGGACTGCGTTTACAGATTTATTAAACTCCTTTGGGGTCAAGCAGAATGTCAGTGGTCCCACTCATCGTCTAAATCATACACTAGATTTAATTATATCATATGGAACCAATCTAACCGATATAGATATTATACCGCAAAGTGACGATCTCACCGATCATCACATGGTAACTTGTATAATACGCACTGCTGAAATTTGTCATGTTGCGCCACGTTATCGACCAGGCAGAACAATCCTTCCGACCACTATAGATAGATTCTCAAATAGCTTACCTGATCTATCTCAGCTGCTCAGAGAACCCAAACAAACAGATGAACTAGAGGAAATGACTAGCAGTTTGAGCACCATTTTCTCTAGTACATTAGATATTGTTGCACCAATTAGATCAAAAAAGGTTAGAGAGAAAACTAAAGCACCATGGTACAACAGTGCTACGCATGCTATCAAGAGAGAAACTCGTAACCTAGAGCGTAAATGGAAACAAACTAATTTAGAGGTCTTTAGAATCGCGTGGAAAGACAGTATGTCACGTTATAAAAAAGCTCTAAAAGCAGCCAGGGCTGAGGATCTCCGCAAACTAATAGAAAATAACCAAAATAATCCAAGGTTTTTATTTAACACCGTGGCTAGACTAACAAATAAACAGACATCACCCGAGCAAATTATTCCGTTACAGTATAGCTGTAATGATTTTATGAACTACTTCAATGAGAAAATTGAAAACATCCGAAACACAATTGTAAATGTACAATCCTCTATGGTGTCTTATGATTCAGCCTCAATTATCGCCCCTCAAGAACAACTACACCGCTTTACAACTGTAGGACAGGAAGAGCTAAATAAACTTATCATTGCATCTAAACCAACAACATGTTTATTAGATCCAATACCAACTAAATTTCTGAAAGAAGTGTTACCTGTAGTGGAAGAGCCTCTTCTTAATATTATTAACTCGTCTTTATCTTTAGGTCATGTTCCAAAAATATTCAAGCTGGCAGTAATAAAACCTCTCATTAAGAAACCGCAATTAGATCCAAATAACTTAGCAAATTACAGACCGATTTCAAATCTTCCATTTATGTCTAAAATACTAGAAAAGACTGTGTCCGCTCAATTGTGCTCTTTCATGCAAGAAAATGAGATATATGAAAAATTTCAGTCAGGATTCAGACCGCATCATAGCACAGAAACTGCGCTAGTTAAAATTACAAATGATTTACTTTTAGCTTCTGACCAAGGCTGTATCTCAATATTAGTTCTACTCGATCTTAGTGCTGCGTTTGACACTATCGATCATAAAATACTCTTGGATCGACTACAAATCTACACTGGTGTTCAGGGACAGGCATTAAGCTGGTTCAGATCGTATTTATCAGACCGTTACCATTTTGTTTGTTTAAATGGGGAAAAATCGAAGATAACGTCAGTAGACTATGGAGTGCCGCAAGGATCGGTGTTAGGCCCTCTGCTATTCTCAATATATATGCTGCCACTTGGTAATATTATAAGAAAACATGGAATTAATTTCCACTGTTATGCTGATGACACTCAATTATATATTTCATCACGGCCAGATGAAAACACTAACTCATCAAAATTGAAAGAGTGTCTTGAAGATATAAAATGCTGGATGATGCATAATTTCCTGCTACTAAATCCAGATAAAACGGAGGTATTACTTGTTGGTCCAAAAAACTATCCACAAAACCACTTACAATACAACTTTAATATAGAAGGATGTCCTGTTACTTTATCCTCTACGGTAAAAGACCTGGGTGTTATACTAGACCACAACTTGTCTTTCGAAAATCATATTTCATATGTTACAAGAACAGCCTTTTTCCATCTTAGAAACATTGCTAAATTACGTAACATGCTATCTGTTTCCGATGCAGAAAAGTTAGTTCATGCATTCATGACCTCGAGACTAGATTACTGTAATGCTTTATTAGCCGGTTGTCCTGCATCCTCAATAAACAAGCTACAGTTAGTGCAAAATGCAGCCGCTAGAGTTCTTACTAGGTCCAGAAAATATGATCATATAACACCAATTTTATCATCTCTACACTGGTTACCTATCAAGTTCCGTATCAATTACAAAGTACTATTACTGACCTATAAAGCCCTAAATGGTTTAGCTCCTGTGTATTTAATGGACCTTCTATCGCCCTACAATCCATCGCGTTCTTTAAGATTACTAAATTCCAGGCTTCTAGTCATTCCTAGGATATCTAAGTCCACTAAAGGAGGGAGGGCGTTCTCACATTTAGCTCCTAAACTCTGGAATAGCCTTCCTGATATTGTTCGAGGCTCTGACTCGCTGTCCCAGTTTAAAACTAGATTAAAGACGCATCTTTTTAGCCAAGCATTTACATAATGCTTACCTGTTATAATACTGCTGAATCAGATCAAATGCATTTAATACTATAAAACTTGAAGAGACTGTAGGTTATCTGTATAGGTTGCATAGTATTTGCAGTCATTACGTTCCTGTATATTGCGTGAATGACGGGTGGTTGGGCAGATATTGTGTTGCGGTAGGTAGTATGCCATACGGAACCGTTGTCCACTGAAACTGCCTATTCACGCACCAGTGGGGCTCGACAGCCTTAGTCAACGGGTTGGCGCGTATGGTTGGGCTGCGGAGAGATTGTGGTTAGGTCTCAGCAGCAGGAGGGACGTAGAGGTCAGTAAGCTGGGCTGAGTTGAGTGGGGGACGGAGGGGGGTGATTTTGGGACGCAAGAGTCACTGTCTTCATGTTTTGTCATTTACGCCTGTGTTATGGAAATCATCATTATGAACAGCAGCTACGCTAATTATTTTCCCTTTGCTTTTCTGCTGTTATCTCGGGACGCGAGTCCCGAGAAAATGGCGTTCATCAGCTCCAGTTTGTATCCAGCCTCTCACGGAGACTTCAGATGCTCCAATCACAAAGCCTGTGAAGTGACGACTCAGCACGGGCGATATGGACTCTCTATGGTGGACGGCACTGATCCTCAACAACTCGTCTTAAGACCGGCGTGCATACTTGGACTTCCAAAAAATACTCTAAATGTTCCGATCCAATCTGACTTGTAATGCTGCCCGAATCATGCACTGTTCCTTCGTTGGCCAGAGGAGAACTGGCCCCCCGACTGAGTCTGGTTTCTCCCAAGGTTTTTTTCTCCATTCTGTCACCTGATGGAGTTTTGGTTCCTTGCCACTGTTGCCTTGGCTTTTGGCTTGCTTAGTTGGGGACATTTAACATTTAATATTATTGATCTGCCTTACTTAAGGTGGACGTTGACGCAATTTCTTTTAGAAACAAACTTTGTTATATTGTTTTCATGTTATCACTGTGAAGCGCTTTGATACAATCTGTATTGTAAAAAGCGCTATATAAATAAAGGTGACTTGACTTGACTTGACTATATAGAATATAGCTCATTTGCACCATCTTGCATCAAGTTGAACAAGGAACCAGAGCAGTGTGAAAGAGATCTTGAAATAGTTATCTGTGTTATGCTAATCAAACGAAAGAGATTAATTATAATGCAGATTAATAATGTATATATCTGTCAGTCATTGTGTGCACCATTCTGTCTTCGTCTGCACTACACTTCCCAGAATCCTCCTTGTCTCCACACCTGAACTCACTCCCTCTATTACCCTCCTGTTCATCGTCTTCATCATCCGTGTCACCTGTCCTCACCTCATTATTGTTCATTAGTCTCTGTATTTAAGTTCCTTCTGCCCGGTTAGTCTTGTCGGTTCTTACATGGAGGTGTTTTGTGTGTGTATCCTCCGCCTGCCTGTACCTGTTTTTTTTTTTTTGTAAATGTTTGAATTGGAGCCTTTTGACTCTGCCTCTCCTTCAACCCGCACCACACATGTAACAGTATCTGCATTAATATTATAACACCGTATTTAATATCCATTTATTAAGTAGCCGTGGAATAAGCAGGATAATGTGCGGATAATTATTACAAAATAAACCCTTGCAGGTGTTCCAGGTCAGAGTGTAAGTTATTCCTTTCTTGAAATGCTGTGTTGACTCACATATTTTTGGCGTTTCGTTGCATTATTGAGCTCCTTTTCAGTCCTGAGCACATCTTCAAAGGTACTAAGAGGCAGATTTAGGCTTGTTTTAACATCTTTAGTGGGTAAGCTGGTACTGCTGCTGGGGGCTTCAGAAGCCGGATTGTCTTTCAGTAGTTTCTTTAACATAGAAGAGTTTTCCTGAACTGTGCTCCTGATGTCTTTCAGCATTTGGAGGAGATCATTCTTGCCTGTTGTGTAAAATGAGTTGTGTTGTAATTACAAAAAAAAAGAGAAAAGAAAAAACTTTAAAAAACTCAAACCGATTACAACAAAATAAGCTGACTCACCATCAGCTGGCATTCTGGATGTAGATGGTGTTGGAAGAACTGGGATTTTTGACATGTCTTGAGTGCTTTGTTGTCTTAGTATTCCAGGGAATCCAGTGGCTAATAGAAGATATCTTTATTTGAAAATAAACAATACTTTAACAAAACAGTACAAATTAATTGTTTGACCTTTAATAGGTAAAATCCTTTAAACAAATGCTGCTTTTGGAAACAAAGTGCAAGCATCTGTTACTTACTGTTTTTTCTGTTCTGTAATCTCTTTTTGCCCCTCTTTTGCCTCATCAAAAAAGACTGCAATAAAATAATTATATTATTTGAGAATTTATAAAAATCTAAAATGTAAACAATTATTTTAAAATAGTCATCATTACCATAATCTTTGTGAAAGCTAATATTTAATTTCTCCCATGTTTTTCCTCCTGTTTCAGGTTTAAGTCTGTTCTTAACAGCTTCCATGCACTTCTCCGTTGATCTGAATGGGGGCCAGTAACTTTGTTTCTTGTCTGGGCTCAACCAGTTTGATGCGACCACCATCACCTCATCTGAGTCTTGCAAGGTAACAACTGCATACATGATCTGTCTAGTGAAGGGGGAAATAATTATGTTTAGCTTGGATTCAAAAATAAATATATGCTTCATTTTATAATAAATTGAAAAGTTGACCAAACAAATCATCTTAAAGTCATGGGATTGATGAAATTCTGACAAAATACGCAGAAACAACCAATTCACAAGTATTTTTTTCCACATTGGTTGGACTACCTTAGTTGCACAAATTATGCTACAAGCTAAATTTCTATACTGAATGTAAGACATATGTATGTTATTAATAACAAATGAGATCTTGGTCATCTTCAAGATCCTCACCTTCCATCACCCTCCATCAAAATGTCTTTTTTCTCATTTATAATTGACCAAAAATCACACTCTTCACACACTCGCCTCTCTGTATTGCCTTTGTCCATTTTAGACCAACTGGCTTCTGATTCCTCTTCTGTGTTGTGCGCAAGCGTTTCCTCCTTCCTTTTATTCCAGTCCTCATCCTTAGACTCATTTCCCAAGCACTTTAATTGTTTACCATCAACGTTTCCTTTGGATAATTCCTTAATGTAATACACTTCATTATCTCTGTTTCTCACTGCAGCTATTACTTCCTCAAGGTCCTCAGGTTGGATACAAAGTATCACACTTTGTTTAAAAACGAGAATATCATTCTGTTTTAAACGCCCAGCTAATGCGGAAGCAAAGCATTTCAGAGCCAGTGTAATGAGAACTGGGGTCAAAGGGCAGCCCTGATCCAGCAGTTTGTCTCTCTCAGTTGAAGCTTCTACTGCTTCTGGTGCATCTCTGAGAAGGTTTTTCACAATGAGGAAATCTTGACACAGAGTTGGGTTTGGCCGTTTTTGCTCTTCTATTTTATCCTTAATACAAGACAACCTCATCTCAGTGCAGAAGGTTTTGGGAGCAATCATGACAGAAGCTGAATTTTTTGGTACAAGACCCTTTGTTTGAGACTCCAAGAAATCATCTAGACATTTTGTCAGAATATTTGCAATGATGAGGTAGTCAACATTAAAAAAGTGTTGACTATCATCATGTGGACTTTTCACAGTTTCATTAAAGTGTGCCTCAGAGCAGTTAAATGCACCTCTGTGGATTCTGTCATAGAGCATCTTAATGTATGGAATTAGATCCTGAATTTTGTCTTTATAGAAGGAAACTGGGATGCCGTCTGGTCTTGGTGTGTCTGACACTTGAAGAGAATGTACAGCTGACACAATGTCAACCTCACTGACTGCATGTGAGCTTTCTTCACCCAGTGATGAACCAGTCTCACCTGTAAAAAGATCCTTTTTTAGATCCAGCCATTGGGAAATTGATTGTAACTGGGGATCTTTCTGAAAAAGGCTTGTGGAAACATTGTTGATCTCCAAGTACACAGGACAATGGTCACCCATCTTTGAGTCTCTGATTTCACAACTTCTGACACGCCACATACATTCTTCTGGAACAAAAAAGTAATCCAGCCTGGACGCAACTTGACTGTGGAATGTATACTCCTGCTTTACAGGGTTCTTTCTTCTCCAGACATCAACTAGCTGAAGAGATTTCATGAACTTATTCACACAACAGCGCAGCTTTCTGTGGTTTGAGTGGTCTCCTTTTGAATTGTCTTTGTCGATAAATGGATTGAAAACCGTGTTGAAATCTCCACCAATCACCAGCAGCCCTGCGGTCATTGACTGCAGGTAACGTGACAGTTTTTCAAGGATCTTTACATCATTGTGATGGTTATAAACACTAACCAGAGTGTACAGCTGACCTTCCAGTTTACATTTCAACACAACATAAGCTCCACAGTTATCTTTTTCATCACTTATACATTCAAAATCTAGTCTTTTCCTGACAAGTATGGCTGTTCCCTTTCGGGAGGTAAACTTTGTGTAGAAAACATGCCACTCATTTTTTAGACCTTCTATAATATGTTTATCTTGTTCTCCAATATGTGTCTCTTGGAAGAAAACAACGTCCGCATTTTGTAGTTTTTGAAATTTCTTATCTCTATTTCGTTTAAGTCCATTAACATTCCAGGTGACAAAATGTATTGTCTGTGAAGCCATCGACAGATCTGCTCTCACAGACCAAAGGTCCCTGTCAAAACAAAGGGTGATGGAAGGTAGGTAGAGGTAAGAGGTAGGATTTTTTTTTTTTAAAGAAAATTACTGAGACTACGTTTTTAAACATTCTGACGTCCAAAGATATTGCTTTCCTATTGTTATATTCTCTGTCTTAAGTTCATTTTCTCATTGGTTTAGCAACAGTGTTGTCTGACAAGACAGGTTATACCTGTTTCTCCCACAACTGCCACTCTCTGTTTAACCAGGTGTCAAGATTCTGACTCAACCCAGCCTGGTCTCATTACTTATACTTATAGGTATTATCACGTAATATTTACAGGGACAGAACTTTGTTTGTTTTTTTTGCATGTACAATATGGACATATTGACAACATCAAACACGTAAAAATAATTACAGCTACACGTATTTAACATAAGACATTTACAAATCTGTAATAATATAATTTACATTAGTATCGTTTTTTAAATTTATATTAAACCATTAACCCTACCTTTATGCCTAGACATAACCACTTTTATAGAGAATAAAATAAATAAATAAAATGCAATGAGCAAAAATGCAATAAACAAAAAAGTCCAATGAGCACTTTAGTTACAGTACAGAATGTTCTCTTCCAAACAATTAGAAAAATATCTAAATTATAAGAAAAGAAACAATAAAAAAACAGAAAATCAAAGATCTTTGAAATTCTTTAGGGGCCATGAAGTTAGAAATGAAATGTCTAGAAAAAGGAGAAATCTGATCAAATGTACAATAAACAACGTGTGTATTGCTAATGCCATTGACGGAAACGCAAATAAATATGTTGACGCAAGTAAATATGGAAGCATATGGGTAGCAATATTCAATTTGAAATGTAATATGCAAAATGACATGCAATATGAATATGCTAAATGTAATATGCAAAATGGCAACTGCGATGAGACGACTAAACGCCTGTGAAGAGACGACTCGACGCCTGTGAAGAGACGACTCAACGCCGGCGATATGTTATGCCCCAAATTAATACATGATTAACTAAATGTATTTTTTTCCATGTACATTTCTGAAATGCACTTTCTGTAAAGCTGCTTTGAAACAATATGTATTGTGAAAAGCGGTATACAAATAAATTTGAATTGAATTGAATATGTAAAATGGCATTGCATTCTGTATTTAAATTTACATTTACATTATCATTCTAGCAACGTTTGGTGCAAAATGAAAATGAAATTACATAATTTACATTTGCCATTTCATACACTAGTTTTAATATGCATTTTGAAACGCTTTATAAGTTGCAAAATTAAAATGAAAATGCATTACAGAAATTATTAGACATGTGTAACAAAATGATAATTCAAATGTTATTTTTATACTTTAGAGCTCTCAGGAGTGGAAGATCTTTTGAAGAGAGAGAGAGAAAACAAGCAAGCGGAAGCCAGCTACAAGACCACATCCTCTGATTACAGCTCACAAATAACATGATCATTTCATTTCATTGTGTATTTATATGGTCATTGTCCCACAGCAAACACAATAAATATTACATAAATTAATGGTCAAACAATTAAAGAAACGTTATTTATTTTTAGACATTAAAGTTTTTAAAAATAAATTTTATATGTTGTCAATACATCATTATCATGCGTTTAGTGTCTGTCGAAACGTCACTAAATAAGTGTCTGTCCAAATACAAAAGTAATTTTAAGAGTGGTAGAACCACACTTTATGTAAAATATATAGGGATTCTAAATGTTATTATTAATAATAAAATTAAACACTTCAGATGTGTTTTTAATGGTGACATTTAAATGGCTTTTTAATGATTGCCTTTCTTGCTTTGTCAAATGTTTGTTGGATAAATTAAACAACAAAACTATTTTGTATTTCTTTGGATTCTTAAACAATTTTATTTCTAATTTTAGTCAACTTTAAGCATCATGATAATTTTACGAAAAAGTTACCTTATGTCTACAGATAAAGTCTGTGGAACCGGAGACTGTTGTCGATTCAGCTGTCAAGTTGAGCAGACTAGATTCGCTTGTGCACTGTTTGATAATTATTTCCTTCTACAGCGACATTTCCTGACCCAGCCACACCTTTACTTTCATTTCTACAGAAGTGTGCTGAGAAAAAAGATCTCCATCAGAGCTCCTTACGAGGTTGTTCTGCAATTGGTGATGAAACAATGAACATTCAGAGCATGAATTCTGAAGATTTGGATAACAGCACACAAATAAAATACATTCTCATTATCATTGTATACTGTGTTTTAGTGTATTTTATGGGTCACTGTCCCACAGCAAACAAAATAAATATTACATGATGTAGTGAACAGCCGAGCACAACCTAACACTTTTTGTCTCTCTCGGTCCACAGGGGGTTCATTTTTACAGTATTAATTTTGTTCCACATTAATTTCACACGTCTAGTATAATTATGTGGATTTGTTTCATTATTACAGTGTTTACTTTTTTTTTTATTTACCCTGAAATGTGAAAACATGCCCCAGGTGGGGCACATTTTAACATATGAGGGGTACGTTGAAATATGACCATATATGACAGCTTAAAATGTTATCTTATATAATGGAAAAAAAATATATAAATATAAGAAAACCTTAAATATTTTGTCAATAAAATAAACTTTTTCAAATAAAATAATGGTGTTTTTTAAGAATTAAAAATAAATACTGCCGTATTGGGGTCTCACCTGGGAGCCCAATCACCTTCAAGTAGTACCTTAATGAGCCAATGGACATTGGCCAGTGAGATTTGCATGCCAAGTCACAAATACATACGTATTATGACTGGTCTCCTCTCTCTCCTTCAGGGAATGGGGGTTACATTTGTAACCTAGACGTTCCCATTCAGTCAGTCATGTTCGACGTTTAGTTGATACTGGTGTATTGGGTCCCTATAAGCGCCAGCACCTGAACTGTGTTATAAGGTCCACCCAGTGGTGGAGGAAGTACTGAATCTCAGTACTTAAGTAAAAGTACAAATAACCAGAGACATATTTACTTTAGTGAAAGTAGAAGTACCACAATGACAACCCTACTTAAGTAAAAAGTAAAAAGTATGTGATTTTTTTTATAAATGTAGCCTACTTTAAGTATTAAAAGTAAAAGTACTTGCATAACAATTTATTCTTTTAATGTCTATATTCAAATGATTAATAAAACAGTTAATCCTAACTCATTCAACCTAATAATCCTATAATGATGTTCAATAATGATGGAAAAGCCGTTATTTTTTAAGTTTTTGTCACCATTTCTGAACAAGCTTGCAATTAGGCAATATACACATCAAGCTTAATTTGACGGGGTTTGGCTGTAAACGCGATTAATTTATGGCGTAATTCTGAACCTCTTGGCTTGCCATACTAATCCTAACCAAACGTATAATAGGCTACACACGCACCCCACACCACTACTAAACCTACCCATGCGTATCCTATGCACGTAAAAACAAATTTCCGCGTATAAATTGCACGATAAACATACTGCGTGCTATAGAGACGCATTTAGTGTGACCGGGTTGATATGCCAACCAAACTTCACTGGTGAGACAAACGTGCGACGAACGGACGGTCAGGATGACGTTTTGGCAGGGGAAAACTGATCAGAAAATGTAATGAAAATGTAACAGAACGTTGTAGAAATGTAGTGGAGTAGAAAGTATAATAATTGCTGCAAAATGTAACGAAGTAAAAGTAATAAGTATGCACTATTGATTCTACTTAAGTAAAGTAAAGATATGTGAAAAATGTACTTAAGTAAAGTAACGAAGTATTTGTACTTCGTTACATTCCACCACTGGGTCCACCCCCGCCTGCCCAACGAAGAATCCAGAGCGTGGTTGAAGATATTCTGCGTGTATGCCTTTTTTGGTGCTTTGGAAAAATCACTTTAATTAATTAAAGTTTTGGTTTCTACTTTTAATTCTGACTCCATGAATAATTTAACCCTCTGGGGTCGGCGGTCTCGCCGGCGATACCAGCTCACTTTTTTCCTTATCAGTGCAAAAGAGACTCAAATTACTCTGTTGATTTTGATCTTACATATAAGTGTTGTACATCATTCGATCCTGTTAAGTTTGTATTTTTTTTGTGGAACCTCACAATAAAAACAAAGTGTTGTGCTTTTCGCCTAATAAAGAAAAATAAACATGATGCGCGTTCTGCGTTCTCTCTGTCAGTGAAGTCCATTCTGAAACGCGTCCGAAAAATGAACTGTAACTCTGCAAATACTCAGTCAAACAGGTATACAGGCACACAGGCATGAAGCCTGAATTATCTTCTTTTAAATGAAGTAGTTTATATAAAAAACAAATTTTCTCATTTTATGTAATCTGTACGAAAAGAGAGAGATGATAGTTGTTCTCGTCTCAGCTCATTAAAGTTAATTTGACCACGCCCACGGAGCGCGCGCTCTATTCAAACACAAACTCTCTGAGGCGATCCACGCCCACATCAGCTGGATAACCCACCGAAAGAGACTCATATTTACGACGCTGTGAGGAATAATACTATCTTAATAATAATCCTGGAAAAAATTACCTCAGAAGTGCAAGTAGTTTCATTTGGAGGAGCAACGGATCCAGCTGAGAAGGTACATTCTTTATTTTCAAGTGCTTTGTTCTAATCGCGAAATGGAATAGTGTCTGTAAACAAAAAGACTGTTTGAATATGAATCGTGTTTTTGTGTATGAATGAATGAACAGCTTTTACCTAACTATATTCCAATACTGAGATGAGTAAAAATCGACTGAAATATGTTGAAATAAAATATTTTTGTATAAGCAACGTATTAAACTGCAAATTAACATTTATATGTCCTAATCATAAAAACGATATGTTACATATGAAAGACAAGATGTCGTTTTTACTGTAAAATACTGCCACATCAAATAAGCTTGTTTGCTAAGATGTTATTATAGTGTTTGTTCGATTGTAGGCTATATTCAAACTAATTAATCCGCAACTGTGAAATATGTATGATAAAATGTATACTTTAGTATATACAAAGAAAGATTACATTTGAAATATAGTTAAAATTTTAATTGTTGTTGTAATTGTAACCTTTTTATTAAAATAGCAAAAATATATGTAGGCTACATATAAATAAATCTTAGGTAAATCTTAAAAGCTCAATATAAGCCTCCTCTTTAAATTATATGTATTGTGTTTTATTAGTGACACATTTGGGATATATTCCCAAACTTTCTGTAAAAACAGTATGAGAATTAACTGCACAATTACTAGAAATGTTTACATTTGATATTATACAATTTGCAAGCACAATTTGAAAAATAAATAAATAATTGGAACTGTGAACCAATTTTGTATTATATAGGCATATATATATATATATATATTGTCATTGCATTCTTGTGGCTCAGTGACACACCTTAATGAAAGGGTCATTAGTATGCAGCCCCATTATGCGCTCATTATGCGGGCCCATTGTCTTCTCAGGTGTGAATCACAGCAGGTCACACCCCTGCGCATATTGCCTTTCCAAACAAAAAGTGTCATTTTTAAATTTAAACCAATCTATTGTTTTATGTAAATGATAAGGCAGGATGATTTTCAGATCATTTTGAAGAAAAAACTATAGGCGACAACATCCATTAGTCAAAAGTCTTGTGGACACATATTTAGTATGTGTTTTGTGGCCTTATTTCAGAAACTTTAAGTTTTAGTTTTTTCAATAACCACACATAAACAATATTCTCTCAAAAATACAAACATGTACATACATGTTGATAACACATTATGGTAGCCCTGTTTGTGCTAAATAGAGTGTAATTACACCTTTGCCAGTAATTTGTTTATAAGCAACTGAAAAAAGCACAAATGTCAGAGTATGTCAAAACATCTCAAGGACCCCAAAAACACCTTGGACCCCAGAGGGTTAATCTGACTCCAAATTTAACCCTCTGGGGTCTAAGGTTTGTGGGGTCCTTGAGATGTCCCGATTATTGCACTTCCTGCCTGATGTCTGAGCGACTGCGCAGGGTCAAACTGAGCTTGACGACAGTCTGACAGTTGTAAATCTTCTAGTAGCTGTGCCAAGACAAATGTGAATTACCTAATTCCTCAAAAACATTGTTGAAATTTTTTGTCCCGTTGCTTTTATGGACTCTCTATCTATGGGCTTCTCCCTTGACTTTTTATGCCTCCATGTCCCCCTGATTGCCTCATAGTCAGTAAAAGATTGCCTGCGAGCTTCTCCCCCTGTCTATAATGTCTCAATTGTGCGACAGAACGTCGTGTGGTTATGACGCAACCGTTAGCCTATTTTCACAAAATGGCTTCTATGGGACCGTAACGTAAGATACAAAGTATGGAGCCTTTTATACATTGTCGTGTTTCTTTAGAAATAAATAATGGACAAATGGAGTATTTGGACGCCTCAGAATCAGATGTAAAGTTATTCGCTGTCAAAGTGACGCCAAAATGAATGGGAGTCAATGGAATGCTAACAGCAGGTGAAGTTCTGCTACAATGGCGGCTCCCGTGAGGCTTCAACTTCCGGCTGATGGATTACCCCCTTGTGTAAAACGCAGTGCAGCTGCACAGTGAGACACAGCAGAGCGTCTAGCTCACTCATTGGCTGTGCTGCAGTAACTGCACATCCAATGGCCGAGCGCCTCTGAACACACGACCAGTCCACAGACTTGGCGCCAAATAAGTCGGAGCGCGCCTAAATGGGCGTGGCTTAGGCCTATAAATATCGCTCATTTCGGCCAATTCATCAGGTTTAAATCGACTGAAGCGACACACCTGACTAACGTAACAAAGTACGTTCCCTTTCGAGAACGGTCACTTTGTATTACGTAGCTAATACGCAGTGGGGACGCAATGTAAAATGCCGCACATTAGCAATTTGGCTGTAAGCCTGGAGCCTAGGGAAGCATCCCCAAGGCTCAACAGAACAAGCCATCAGAATTCCCAGTATAAGACACTAGCCAGACTTGTCAGGTTCATGAACAAACTAGCACTATAACTGCCATAGGACCATACGTGCTATGGACAGAAATATGCTAGACAGATAAAAAACAGATATCCTCGGGTTAATATCACACTGAGAAGACCCATGCCTGCAGACAAAGAACCTCCAAATTATAGAATCTGATAAATGTGTACGGCGAGGAGGACCATCCGGCCACCGCACAGATATCTTGAATTTGTATACCACTGGACCACACCCCCGATGAGGCCATCCCTCTTGTGGAATGGGCTTTAGCGCCTATGGGACAATTCCGCTTTAAGATTAAATCCAACAGGTCTCATCCAAAGGAAAACCGAGAGTCTCTCAGTTATAATGAAACAGAAATATGCGGACAGGGTGGCAACGGGAAACCCCGGAGGATGAGACAGACTGGGTCCGTAGAGAGCACGGGAACGCCAATCCTTGGACCACTCACGTTTGCTGGAGGTTGGATAAAGCAGAGGCGAGTTAATAAGGTTGAAAGTTAGGAGCAAGCATCAGACAGGACACGACTAAGACAGAGGTTGGTACAACTGGCAAACAGGTACGTAACATTCGGGAATAATCTGACAAAGAACAAGAGAAATGAAAGCCTAGAAAAAGAGAGTCTAATCAGAGAAAGTGGTAAACAGTTGGGGAGGAGAGAGAGTGATGAGATGAGGTGATGAGACACAACTGAGAGCGAATGAGATAATGAATGGGAATGTGTGTAAATGGATGTAATAAAGAGTGTGACCAGAAGAGGGCGTGAGAGTGTAAGAGAAGAATACCAGGATCATGACAATATTTTACATTTACATTTATTCATTTAATATGAATATGAATATGAAAGATCAAGTTCAAGGACACAAGTGGACTTTGATCTTAACTTTATTGCTTTATTCTGAAACAGTATAAACCAGTTAAATCAACAGCAATATCTGGGAAGAGCTGAAAAGGAATTCAGTGCATACACCATAAACTTTAAGTGCCTGTATATCTCTTTACAAAAATAATTATTTACAAAACCATAAAGCTGTTTTACACAAAAAAGAAAGAAAAAATGTTTTAGGTTAATGAGCACCTTTTAATGTATAAAGTTTTATAAATAAATTTTTATAGAACTCCTTATCCTAAAACATTTTTTTTTTTTTTTTGTAAAACAGCTTTATGGTTTTGTAAAGAGTTATTTTTGTATACAGGCACTTAGAATAAAGTTCATGGTGTATGTCCTGAATTCCTTCTCAGCTCTTCCCAGGTATTGCTGTATTATATATTGAGTACAAATACATGTCTTGTATTCCTTAACATATTTTGATGAGTTAAAGCAATGTAAAAATATATGTTATCATAACTGATTGATCATACCGTTTTTTAAAGTGCATGTATCTTGATTCTACATAGGTTCTACATAAGTTACACTTGTCCATGAATGTTTTCCCCCACGCCAAGTCTACCCAAGGTATGCATTTAAGGGTTAATAGTGAGAATTGGACCCTAAACTGTGTGATCAAAATAACATGTATTCCTTGACAAAATGGATGTTTCATGTGTAATCAGGTCCACGTGACCCATGATTGATGATTTAAAACTCAGTCCGTAAAGAGTTTCCAAATTTCTTCCAGCTCATCATCATCGTCCATTGGTGTAGGAGAAATCACATTTGGGATCTCAGGCCCAATACCTGCAGAAGCATGAGAATAGACACAGAAATATATGATGATGTTTCCCTTTCAGTCGGTCACGAGGTTGGGATCTCGCTTGCGAGACCAACCTCTTAACTTCGAGTGTAACTAAACGAGCCAATGAACATTGACATGCAAACTTACACATGCTCCGCCCCACCGTGCAGGTACAGATAAGGGAGCAGATGCCTCACATATTCGCTTTTCGCTTCAGACCCGTTCTTATGTGTTCAGCTCTGCAATCTTTAAAGAGTGTGTCTGAGCTCTCAGAAGTCGCAGCCAACGCCGTTCACACCAACACCAACGAGAGGCAGCTTCCCATAAGAGCAGTAGACTAGAGTTGTCAGCATTGGCTGCGACTTCTGAGAGCTCAGACACAACAGTTGTTTTCACAGCTCTAGATTTGCGTCTTCAATGAGTGTATGTGAGCACACAGCAGGCTTGCACTATCGCCCTGCTTGTGTGCCGCGGCACTAGAGAGAGCAAATTCCCTAAAAGAGCAAGCACGGTGCGGCATTATACAACATTGTACGTCATTATATCTGTGTTTCCGGATGCAATCGTTTCCTTTCCTCATTTGATGGCCATGATCACTGTCTCACGTGCCTGGGCATAAGCATGCTGAGATTGCTTTCGTGGGTCGTTTATGTTCTCTCAGGAAAACATAACTACGTCGGCACGTTGTTTGTCTTCATCTCCTCCTATGGAGTCAGAATCTGAGCTTCATGCCATTCACATCCCAGACGTGCTCAATAATGCTGCTGACGAGCTCTCACAACAGCCTGCACCTTTGGGAGAGTGGCGACTCCATCCCGGTGTGTGCCCATGTTTCCTACCACTCCCTCCAGGGACCAGTTAGTGAACCTGCAGACCCAGCCATAGCTTTTCTCTGTCCCGTCCGCGCTCTGCGGCTGTACGTGGACCGAACGCAAAGCTTCAGGACCTCAGAGCAGCTCTTTGTCTGTTACGGAGGCCAGCAGAAAGGGAAAGGCTATATCCAAGCAGAGGTTAGCCCACTGGATAGTGGATGCTATTGTCTTGGCGTATCAACCCCAAGATGAGAGGGAACTCAACCAGAAGTGTTGCTTCCTCGCTGGCTCAAAGCGCCTCACTGACAGATATTTGTAGAGCTGGAGGCTGGCGACACGTTCGCTAGATTCTATAGCCTTCGTGTAGAACCGGTATCCTTCCGTATACTCGCTCCAAGTGGCCAGTAGTGTGGGGAACCTGTTCAAGTGTCGGCTTGCTGCGCCATTCCACTCTTAATGGACTGGATACGTGTGTTTATTTGCTCCAGTAAGTTACCCTGAATTGGCTAACCCTATTGAGTTCCTCTGTCATCCTTGGCAGTCAGATGAACCTAACACTCGAATGCATCGAGGAACCTGTGTTAGGCTGGGTGTCCATATGTAGTGATCCCTGCGGCGTTCCCATGTGTGTATTTTTCCACGGTACTACTACCCTGTTGGCTTGCCAGTGTCTTTCCCTCTGCTGGTGCAGTCCCCCTCCTCCCTTACTAGTCTGCAGCCATCCCAAAGACATTCCATATATTGCACTACCCTAACTGGCTAGTCCATATGTGTAACTTCCACATGATACTTCCCTGCGGGCAAGGATGTGGCTTTCGCAGCGTTCCTTTTCCGTAGAAGAAGCACGCTTTCCCAGTGTTATCCAATAGTCTCACTGAGTGGGTCCTGCGGACTTTCTCTGCATACGCTTCCTCTGCCCCTCAGCTTCGGGGGCAAAGTAGAGGCTTATGCAGGGCGTTGGAAGGGCCAGCAACATGGCGTTTTGGTAGGAATCACAATTCGGTGGTTTACTGACCCGACGTGACATCGGGAGTGACCGACTGAAAGGGAACGTCTCAGTTACATATGGTAACCCTTGTTCCCTGAAGGAGGGAACCCGTCACGTCCCGTCGCCATGTTTGCTGTACCATCGCTGCAGCCGGGTCACCAGCTCAGCTTCTTAGCGAAAACCAAATATGCGAGGTATCAGCTTACTTTTCTATACCCGCACGGCTGGGCGGAGTGTTGGATGCTTTTTAACATGGCTTTAGAAGATATTCACATTTGCAAGACATTTTATTGGTGTTTTCAACCTTCTTTTGAAAAAAAAACTTATATAATGTACTGTATACTCATGCATTATATACTGTAACACTTTGAATTGCTTTAGCATTAAACACTGCATAATTTGTTTTAAATGGAAGTAAGCTTATCTGAGGAAATCTTTGCATGTCAGGAGTTCAAATGTATCTGAGAAATAGTCCCATGAGTGCATTCACATAATATCTATTACTCACCTCCTTGTTCTCTTGGTCTCCTTCTGAGTCGGTCAGCTGTGTAACTCAGATATTTTTTTATTTCATTTTCACAGTCAACCCTGATTAGATTTGGTCTAACTGCAGCATCTGAAAAAGTTTGATAGTTTGTAATCTCTACAGGGTCAAATTGGTCTCAAAGTCTTTTAAATATGTTTTACTCATTTTAATGTGAAGAAGACTACCATGGCAAGCCGTTTTGGCTTAAATTGTACCCAGTGATACTCGTCGTAATTGCATTTTTACTGGTAAGAATTACAATTAGAGAGCTCTCTAATCCAATTATAACTAGTAACAATTACAATTAGAAAGCCCTCTAATTACATTTTTACTAGTAAGAATGCAATTACAGAGCTCTCTAATTGAATTTTTACTAGTAAAAAAAAACGAATTAAAAATATGTATAATTGCAGAGCTCTGTAATTAAATTAAAGAGCTCTGCCATTGCTTTCTTACTAGAAACAACTGAATTAGAGAGCTCTCTAATTGGAATTGTTACTAGTAATAATTGAATTGGAGAGCTCTCTGATTGTAATTCTTACTTATAACAATTCAATTGTAGAGCTCCGTAATTAAAAATGAATGGAAGTCAATGGAGACATATGACTAGTAAAAATTAATTTGTAGAGCTCTCTAATTGGAATTGTTACTAGTAAGAATTGAATTAAAGAAGCTCTGTAATTGTAATTCTTACTAGCAATAATTTAATTAGATAGCGCTGTAATTGTAATTGTTACTAGTAATAATTCAATTAGAGAGCTCTCTAATTGAATTCTTACTAGTAAAAATGCAATAATGACGAGTAAATCTGGGAACAATTTAAGCTAAAACGGCTTGCCATAGACTACAGACAAAATATAAGTGAAATACAAATGTTGTTGTGAGGTGTTCATGCAGTATTGACTTTACCTCTGATTACATCTGCTAAAATAAGCTTAGAGAAGGGCTTTTTATCTCCTCTCCCCTGCCAGTTGAACTCCTTTGCCAGATCATCTGTTAGGATGCGCTGCATAATATTCTTAATCACGTCCTTGGGTCCAAAGCCTCCAAGCATTGACAGATATTTTACCTGTGAGGAAAATACTTTTGATATTTGATTCTAACTGGTCAATCACAGCATTGATCAAATATTTTGTATAGCTTATGACCACTAAACTGTACTGTTACAGTAATAGTCTTCATGGACTTTTTCCTAGAAGCTTTCAACTTTTCTACAAGGTAAACAAAAATAACCATTTTGACTCAGTATATCTTACTTTATTTATTTATTTGTTAGTTTGTCTATTTTGTTTATGGTCAAGGAACATTCCAGTAGGGATTATTTTGTGAACGTGACGTGACCAGATAAGTGTACAGTATCCCTTTAAATGTTTTATAAATGCTGTTGACTCACCATTTTTTTGCGTGATGCTGCAGTGTTGAGCTCCCTTTCAATATTGTTCACGTCTTCAAACGTTTTAAGAGGCAGATTTAGGTTTGTTTTAACTTCTTTATTTGGCACGCTGGTACTGCTGCTGGGGACTTCAGAATCTGTGTTGTCTTTCAGTAGTTTCTTTAACATGGCAGAGTTTTCCTGAACCATACTTTTGATTTCTCTCAGCATTTGGAGGAGCTCCTCCTTGTCTGTTGTGTAAAATAAGTTGTGCTTTAATTACAAAAGTGAAAAGAAAAAAAATCTCAAACTGATTTTTGACAAAAATAGTTGACTCACCATCAGTCCTGGAGGCAGGTGGAACTGGAGGAAGCGTTTGTAACTGATTTTTTAACATTCCTACAGTATTTTCAAGTCTTTGTCTTTTTAGTATTCCAAAGCCTCTTTTTGACCTTTATTTAAAAATAAGCAATACAAAACAGAACAAATAGGTCATTTAACCTTTTCAAAGGTCAAATCTTTTGGGGAAAAAAATGTTGTTGGAAACAAAATGTATATTACCGTTCTTTTTGTTGTTTCATTTCTTTTTGCCCTTCTTTTGCATTGTCAAATATGACTGTAGTAAGATAAAGATTTCATTACATTATTTGAGAACTTAACAGACAGATAGAAATCAAACAGTTCTTTTAAAATTGTAATCATCACCATATTCTTTGTGAAAGCTTATATTTAATTTTTCCCATGGTTTCCCTCCTGTTTCAGGTTTAAGTCTGTTCTGAACAGCTTCCATGCACTTCTCTGTTGATCTGAATGGGGGCCAGTAACTTTGTTTCTTGTCTAGGCTCAACCAGTGTGATGCGACCACCATCACCTCATCTGAGTCTTGCAGGGTGACAACCGCATACATGATCTGCCTAGCAAAAAAAAAAAGAACAAAAAAAAAAAGAAGAGAAAAAAACAAGCGTGCATATTTGGCTGATATACTATAAATTATAGAAAATTTGAAAGTTGACCAATCAAATCATCTAAAGTAATCAAAAAATTAATTTCTATTTTGTTTGAAATTTGTCGTGAAATTAAGATCATCTGGTGAAAATGGAGGTTCTGACATTGAAACAGGCCTTTTGTCAGGGGATGTTTTCATAGCCTCGTGAGACCATCCTGATCTCGCGAGCTTTCAAGGTTTCACTCGCAGATCAGTCTGGATACTTTCCGTTAAAGAAAATTTGGGAGCAGTTCACCAAACGAACGTCCAATCAGCGTTGGCTTTGAGGCGGGTTGAGGTGTGACGCAACGAGAAGCGCGTCAGTTCAGTCTAAAGAACATGTCGGCTTCAGCGGATGAAACTAGCATCAGCGTGGCTATCGAGCAAGTTTTATCGGAATTACAGAGTATTTCTTCACTGAAAGAAGAGCAAAACACTGCTCTGGAGGCTTTTCTCAGAGGAAAAGATACGCTCTGTTAGTACGTCATATGCTTCGTTGATCTGATTGGTTGATTTGGCCCGTCTATCACCAACATAGGCCAATCAGCTAACCAGTATTTTCGCCCCTTTACCAAAACTACTTCAACGGAAGGTTTCCAGATGGATATGCGGAGCAAATCCATCTGGCGGAGTCAGGTTAATGTTTTCAGGAAGACATGAATAAACATCTAACACAGTTTTAATGATAAAAATCCAGAACAGGCAAAAAGGTAATGTAAAAGTGACCAGACAAACTAAAATGGAAACACACATAACTTGTATACAAAAGATAATGAGGATAACACAGCTTTTTTTGTTTTTGACAAAACCTTTAATTATTTATAATATTTTGTAAATGTTCCCTTAAATACAACAATTTCATAAAATCTAAAATCTGTTACGTTTAATTTTCTCAGTTTGTTGTTTAGAGTTGTTTTTGTTCTGTTTCTAGATCAGTTTTCTTTGTCTAAATGTATTGGTTTCCATGGTTTATGCATTAATTATCTTTAATTGCTAAAAACAGTATAAAAGTCTCCAATGCAGGGTAGCACCGAAGAGCTTATGTGCATCATGTAATGGAAAAATGTGATTTTCATTGATCTTTCAGTAGATATTGCAAAGGAATGTCACATGTTTTTTTTTATGTTTTTTTTATCATTTGTAGTGTGGTGTGGGAACAGGAAATTTATGTATGTTTGTATACCTGTGGAAGTGCAGGAGTGAGACACTTTGGGTACAGCTGGGAAGGAACCTTTGACCCTATAGTATTCTATTGTACGCATCATCGCGTACAATAGAAGTCCCATTTCATTGGCTTTGCGCCAACAAATAAAACTGCTCCTTTGAACACCCCCGCTCCCGCCCCCCTTTCTCTGCTCCTAATATATCGCGAAAAGAGTAGCAAAAGTCATGGCGCGAAATTTGAAATTGCAGTGACCGATTTGAGAAGTTGCAAGTGCCTAATTGAGGTTGTACTGTGATTGTGAATATAAGATTAAATGCAAATATATATTACAAGTTTGTGTCTATCATTTACGGAGCCCCTAAAGGGACCTTTGCAAAAATAAAAAAAATAAAGACTATCGCGTGCGCACGAGAAACGTCTCAGGTTACTACTGTAACCATAGTTCCCTGAGAAAGGGAACGAGACGATGCGTCACTTGACGCTTTGGGAACGCCCCCAGCGTGAATGCGTCTGAGCATCAATGTCAACTAGTCCAATGGAAAGAATGAGCGTCACGGGCGGGTGACGTCATGACCAGGAAGGCATAAGAGCACATCCGGTGAAACGCGGCATTAGCTTCAAAAAGTCGAAGCAAGCCGATCACAGGGATGCAGGAAGTATGGCAGGGTGACGCATCGTCTCGTTCCCTTTCTCAGGGAACTATGGTTACAGTAGTAACCTGAGACGTTCCCTTTCGAGGGAACTCGCGATGCGTCACTTGACGCTTTGGGAACGAGAATACCGAAAACGCCAGAATTCCAAGTACCTGAGTGTCAGTCTGTTGGAACTAAGCACTAAGCACCTGAGAACCTGGGGCAGCATCCAGGTCCAAACTGTAAAACCTGACGAATGTGAGCGGTGAAGACCAGCCTGCCGCATCACAAACGTCTTGGAGAGAAACCCCAAATAACAAGGCTTTAGAGGCCGCCATACCCCTTGTTGAGTGAGCTCTGACCACCAAGGGACACGGATGGTCAGAGTACTCGTATGCAAGTGAAATAGCCTCGACTATCCACTTACTAACCGTCTGTTTAGAATCAGGAAGACCCTTCTTAGGTGATCCAAAGCAAATAAATAACTGGTCGGACTTCCTCATTGAAGATGTCCGACGAACATAAGTATCCAGTGCTCGCACTGGACACAAGAGGTTCAGCCTTTCCTGGTCCGCAGATGTAAAAGGAGGACAGAAACCTGCAGCACAATAGGCCTCGGAATAATGGTAGGCACCTTTGGAACATATCCATGTTTCGGGTAAGATTGCCTTGGCCATCCCCGGTGCACTCAAGGCAGGTGGGGACCGAAAGGGCCTGAAGGTCTGACTCTAATAGGGACGAAATAGCTAGCAGAAAATAGTCTTAAAAGAAAGGAACTTCTCTGAGACCAAATCTAATGGCTCGAAGGGAGCCCCAGATAGGCCTTCTAGAACTATTGCAAGGTCCCAAGCCAGCACCCTAGTGCAAGTTGCAGGCCTCAGCCTCAAAGTGCCATGAAGGAAACGAGTGATCAGGGGGTCTCGACCCAAAAATGTACTACCCACCAGGGCGTGGAAAGCCGCAATGGCCGCCACGTATACCTTAAGCGTGGAAGGACATAGACCTGATACAAAGCGTTCTTGCAGAAACTCGAATACTGTGTTTACTGAACAGTTAACCGGATCCCACTGACGCTGGTAACACCAAGAAGTGAAAAACTCTCGAAATAGTGAATATAGTTTCCTCGTAGCGGGAGCTCTGGAGCTTAGAATGGTCTCAACAACCTCGGTTGAGAGACCACTCTCTATGAGTTGGGCCCCCTCAGAGGCCAAACCCACAGTTTCCAAATCCCCTGCCGGGGGTGCAATATTGCATCCCCTGCCTAAGACGGAAGGTCTCTCCTGATCGGGACCTCCAAGGGAGGTCCGTCGAGGAGAAAAATTAGGTCCGCAAACCAAATTCAGCTCGGCCAGGGTGGTGCTACTAAATAGGCTTATTCCATCCTGGCGGAATCACTCCAGAACTCCTGGGAGCAGAGCAACAGGGGGAAATGCGTACAGACGTAGCCTCAGCCACGTCTGCACCATAGCAACCAGCCCCGAGGGGACTGGTTGAGTGAGGGATAACCAGAGTGGACAGTGCGTCGTATGCTGAGACGAGAACAAATCCCCTTCTGCCTGGCCATAAAACTCCCATATTTGCTCCACCGCCTCGGGGTGGAGTCCCCTGGCCTCAGCCCCTGCCTCGACAGGGTGTCTGCTCCAATATTCTGGCCCCCCTGGAATATACACTGCCCTCAGACAGCGTAATTTCCTGAGGGACCAAAATAATAGGCCACCAACGTGTTGTCTGTGGGTCAAGAACCAGAGTTTCCTCCATATAACCAAGGCGCGGGGATACTGCCGCGTGATCTTGATCGTACGGAGTGGGTTTCCCCTCAGGGAGAACCCTCTGGTCCTGAGCCACCACTGTAAAGGTCTCACGTACAGCAGGTCAAAGGGTATCACATTGAACGCTGCTGCCCTGAGGCCTAACAGTCACTGTTTCAGAACAACACATGATGGCCCCTCAGGTCTGGGAGGAGATGTCTCAACGCATTGAAGACGACCATCATCTCTAGGCAATTCATGTGCCAAGCGAGATGATGACTCCTCCCAAGCCCTGAGCTGAGCGGCCTTCCAATACCGCTCCCCAGCCGGTGAGGGAAGCATCTGTCGAGATAGCAACTCGATGGCAAAGAGCTCCCAACACCGAACCCTGGGTTAAGAACCAGTGTTTCCTCCACATAACCAAGGCACGAAGGCACGGCGGCGTGATCTTGATCATACGAAGTGGGTTTCCCCTCGGGGAGAACCCTCTGGTCCTGCGCCACCACTGCAAAGGTCTCATGTACAGCAGGCCAAAAGGTATCCCGTTGGACGCTACTGCCACAAGACCCAACAGTCTCTCGAACTGTTTTACAGTGCGTGACTGGCCTAGCCTCAGCTCTTTTGTGGCTGTTAGGATAGCAGCTACACGAACGGGCGACAGAGTGGCCCGCATCGTCACTGAATCCCATACCACACCAAGGAAAGTTGTTCTCTGTACTGGAGAAAGCACACTCTTCTTGGCATTGAGCCTCAACCCCAACATCTGCATATGAGCGAGAACGACACCTCGGTGCCGAACTGCTAACTGTTCTGATTCCGCTAGAATCAGCCAGTCATCTATGCAATTCAGAATGCGTATACACTGCAGCCTGGCGGGGCCAGAGCTGCGTCTATACACTTCGTGAATGTGCGGGGTGATAGAGCTAGACCGAAAGGAAGTGCCTGATACTGGTGTTCTTTGCCCCAAAGAAAACCTCAGGAACCTCCTGTGCTGAGGGAGGATGGAGATATGGAAGTATACGTCTTTTAGATCTATCGTGACAAACCAGTCCTCGGATCTGATTTGAGTCACGATCTGTTTGAGTGTCAGCATCTTGGACTTGAGTTCCAGCACCAAACACTCCAACAGACGAAGATCTAATATGTGACGCTGCTCTCCATCCTTTTTTGGAACAATGAGATAACGACTGTAAAGACCCGACGCAATGTCGGGTGAGTACACCTGCTCTATAGCTTTCTTTGCTAACAGGGCCTTTACCCCTTGCTCCATTACCAGAGAGATTACCATTACCCATAGAGATATATTTGGCAGTAGCTTCCGCGCTGCCAGAAAATCTACCAAGGGAACCAGCCCCTCGAGGCTGGCCTCTGGTGTAATAAAGACAGCCAGTTCGGGGACCTGAAACATACTGGCAGGAACCACCCGAACTGACTGTTTTCGAACCCCCCTCAGAGGGCGCGAGTCCGACGCAATGTCGAGTTGACGCTGCGCCAGAAGCTCGCTGGAGAACGCTGCGCCCCGAAGCACCAAGGGTGGCGGGGTTGGCAGAACGGTCCCCTGAGGGCACAGAGATGGAAAGGGCACCGTATAATGAGATGTACACAATTCCACCCCGGTTGGGGCTGCCCTCACCGGTCTGACGCCGTGGCGCCAGACCTTTTCTTTTGAGCCGCAGCCTTCTCAGCATGAAGAACGGTCCTCGGATCCGGCTTCTGCTTTGAAGGCTTTGGCTGCTGTGTTGTGTATGAGAAACTAGCCGGCTGGAGCTGCTCACGCCCAGCAGCCCCAGTGGGTTGGACATAGCGAGGGAGAGATTATCTTGTATCTTTCTCCATGATTCCCATCAAATTGAGCCAGAGGTGTCTCTCAGTGACCACATTTCTTTGGCTGCCATCCCTGAGAGATAAATCTGAGGCCCGACGGAGTTCTCAAACCCCATCGGGCCAAACTCCCTCACTTCTGTCCAAATACCACAGCAGGTCAGCCTGATATGCTTGCAGCACTGCTATAGTGTGCAAGCAGGCTCGTGCTAGACCCACTGCCATATATGCTTTTCCCACTAGATTAAAAAATAGTTTTCTTTAATGGTTTAGTGAGAGAAGCCGACGCCTTCAGGGACGATACTGAACCGGGGGACATAGCTCGCAAGTGTCTGTTCTACCCGGGGTATTGCCCCATAGCCATACTCTCTTAACCCCCAAATATCTGAATATACATGAATGTGGGGCTAAAAAATGAGTAAGGCTTTTTCCATGATCTAGACAGCTCGCTGTGCAGATCGGGAAAAATGGAAGGCCCCGTGATGGAGGTGGAAAAATAGAGGGAAGGAAACTCGTTCAATTTATTTTAAGGACGAGTGCCCCCTTATTTCTGCTGGCCATTAAATATTTAATTTATCTACAGCCTTAGTAAACACCTCCACCAGCTTATTATTATATATATTTTTTTTATATACATTCTTTATATATATACACTTTATTTTATATATAATATATAAACTATCATATATATATATATATATATAGGCTATATATAATTCTCATACGCTGGGGAAGAGATGGCAAATCCACTTCCCCCATGATTGTGTACACTTTCAATGCCCAGCACATCTACCTCCTCGGAGGTAGAGCACTGAAGCATTGATTTCTCTCCCCGGGCGGAAGAGACTGCAGCGCGGGCTTCCGAGACCGGAGAGAGAGCACTGGATCCCTCGTGGAAAGGGAGGAGATAAGATCCGCGGACCCGTCTCCAACCCCGTAACGAGATCCTATTCGCGATCCACAGGAATGCATTCTCCGCGCTGCCTCGGCAGACGCGTGTCCTGCACCCCGAGGATCGCGAGCCTGGCCACTTTCCTCGAAAAGTGACAGGCGGGAGTGGAGCATGCGAAGCGAAAGCTTCTCACAATGTTGCAATCAGCCCCCTCGGAGGCTGATACCGCATGCTCCACTCCCAAACAAACTACACAAAGCTCGTGTGTGTCCCCACCCGTTAAATAACGCGGGCAGGGAGAAGCACAGAGTTTGTAAAGTTGTTTCGCCATAACTCTTCCCAATAATATCGAACAGACAACAATAAATAGACAGAGACAGAGTAACACAGATCGCTTGCTGAGACACAGAAGCTGATGCCGCGTTTCACCGGATGTGCTCTTATGCCTTCCTGGTCATGACGTCACCCGCCCGTGACGCTCATTCTTTCCATTGGACTAGTTGACATTGATGCTCAGACGCATTCACGCTGGGGGCGTTCCCAAAGCGTCAAGTGACGCACCGCGAGTTCCCTCGAAAGGGAACGTGTCCAGTGCGCACGCGAAAGTTTTCAGTTCCCAAAATCCCAACTAATTTTCCTTTTTAGTTCCCAAAAAAGGAACAAATTCGTCAAATGTCAGTCATAATACAGACAATAATAATTCAGGGCTAAGATTATCACAAGTAAACACCCATGCGCTTGAGCGCAGAATAGGCTATATTCCTCCATGCACCAAGTATTTAATAGATTTGTACTAATTGCTTAAATAAATGACTACTAGTCGACTAGAAAAATCTTTAGTCTATGGCATCTTTAGATTTATAAAACTTTAGTAAATAAAACCTATTTAGCCAACTTATTATTTATCGGATAGGCTATCCATCTATTTACATTGAGTTGAGTTAGCATAATTAGTTAATGAACGAATAAAATAAAGATTAAATTAATATTCTATATTTCTAGCATTGCTTGTTCCTTCACAAAACACTGTTTTAAGGTGACAATCCTTTATAGCCTACATGTGAAGATTGTACTGTATCTTGAAGATTATTGTATTGTATCTTCTGTTATAAAGATGACACAATTACTTAAGCACAATGTTGTAAAAAAATAAATAACTTATTAGATGTGTTAGATGCGTTTTGACTACTTTTAGTATTTTGTAATTATATCCCTATGTAGGCCTAATGAAGATATATTAACAAAAAAATATTATATAGGCTATACATATATGCTATAAAAGGCTATAAATGTTATAAAACATTTCTAAAGTCGAAGTCGGAGCGCTAAACGGCCATTTAACAGGGTATTTAATTTTATATTAATATAATTGCTATACTGACTTATAACATTAATGAACACAAACTATAAACTCATTTACAACATAGCTATTCTAGACATACACTTTCTTTCAGTTCAACTGAATGTATTTTTTTTTTGTAAAAAACTCAAATTTGATCCTGTCTTTTTAGAATAAAAATTTAAACTAACTTTAAAAATTCAATAAATTCTTCTTCCATGTTGCGATCTGCGATTATTGATGAAAAATAAGCTCCGTACATATCATTCCTCGTTCCACATTTGCATTAATGATGCTATAACGCAAACCGTAAATTGCGATATAGCCTATTAATCAATAATCGTGAGCAAGAGATACGTTTCTCGCGCGCACGCGATAGTCTTTATTTTTTTTATTTTTTTTGCAAAGGTCCCTTTAGGGGCTCCGTAGTCATTGCATTTCTATGAATGTCATTGTACACATTTGTGATGGCTTGTCCGCAGCTTCACATTCAGAATAGGCCTACAGGTTTGTGACTATTGTCTGCGAGTGCACATTTCAACATTCAACTTCAGATTTTTGTTTTACAGGTTTTCACATTGGAGCTGTGAGAATAAATGTTCACATACAAGTACGAATATTTATTGTACAAGTTATCAAATTCACATCTACATGCTCTCGAGTTTTGTTGTTGCTATCAACAATGCTGTTGTTGTATTTCTTTGGATTGTTAAACTATTTATTAACATTTTTAAGCATCATAATAATTTGAAGGAAAGTTACCTTATATCTTTACAGATAAAGTCTGTGTGGAACCGGAGACTGTCGTCGTTTCAGCTGTCAAATTGAGCAGACTAGATATCTAGCCTACATTTCCTGAACCTGCCACACTTTTACTTTCATTTCTACATAAGTGTGCTGAGAAAATAAGTTTCTATTTCTGAAAAAACAGCATAAAGGAAATGTCACATTGTTGTCGGTTTACATTGTCTACTACATGTTTCCAGAGTTCCTTACGATGTTGTTCTGCAATTGTTGATGAAGCGATGAACATTTGAGTATGAATTATAAAGATTTGGATTACAGCACACAAATAAAATGATAATTTTTTAGGATCATTGTATGTTGTATTTTTAGTGTATTTTATGGCCAATGTCCCACAGCAAACAAAAGGAATATCACATGATGTAGGAAACAGCCGAGTAGCCTGACTACGTCAGACTTCCTACTTCCGCTAATTTCATTTCGCTCCTGTAGTCAGTCTGAGATAGCAGCCTATCTTTCTGTTTTCCACCGGCCTGAAAACAGCCTGGCCAATCAACGAACAGAGGGCGGGCTGAAAGCCGTGACGTAGTCGGTAAGCGCCGTGTTTAAGATTAGGTCAGGAAAAAATCGAAAACGACCGCTGATATGGAGACGCGGATGCAATTCGCTCTGTTGTGGAGAATATTCCCGGCATTAGCAAACTGAAGCCCGAACACGAAGAGTGTGTATTAAACATTTTGAATGGAGGTGATGTTGTGGCCCTACTCCCTTTGGGAAAAGTTTAATTTATCAACTATTACCGATCGTCAGCGAGAAACTGGGGAGCCTTTTGACAGGTCAGTGTCTCTTTTCTTTTCCAGGTCTTAAATACCGTAAAACTTCAAATAATAGCCCGGGCTTTTATTTGCCCAAATCGTCGAACTGCACCGGCTTGTACTTGAGATAGGCGTCTAACTTATATGAGACAGGCCTTTATAGTTGAGATGTTGTTCATTGAGATGTTGTTCCTAGAGTCTATAATCTCTAAAAATCTCCAAATGCTCCACGTGAAACCGCGGTCTTCCGACCTCTTACTATCTTGTCGATTGATTTTTATGAAAATGCGCGAGGGAGAGAGAGCAAGACAGCGCTCGTGTTGTTTGTAGACGTGGGAGTGCGCGCGCGCGGCCGGGGCTCTCTCTCTCTCTCTCTGCTCGTTTGTGCCCTGTCAAGCGCAGCAGTCATTCTATTACATCACTCACAGATCAAAAAAGTCGTTTACAGCCATGTTCACTCGGGTATTTCGCTCGCATCATCAAGTGTTTACAGTGGAAGTTCGATCATAGATTTGAGTTCGATGCATGATGTCTGTGGTTCGATGCTGCTGTGTCGGCGCATAACATACGTCATAAACAAACTTATCTGATTGGCTTACGGGTAACCAATGATTTTAAACTTCAGTACGCGCCCCCTAGCGAGAGAGAAAACACTTCTCTATTATGCTATCCCAGACTCTGTGTACGAAGCAAAGTGAAGTAGCAGAGTCTGGTATTACCAGGCTAACAGCCGAGCACAACTTAACACTTTTTGACTTTCTCAGTTTGTGTAAATCCACAAGTCTAATAGAATTATGTGGTTTTGTTTCATTATTACAGTGTTTACTTTTTTCTTTATTTTCCCACGAAAAATGGAAGTGAAATGTGACAACTTGCCCCATTGGTGGGGCACATTTTAACACATGAGGGGCGTTTTGTAACATGACCATATGACAGCTTAAAACTTTATCTGATCTAATGAAAAAAAATATATATACAAGACAAACTTAAATATTTTGCCAATAAAATAATTACTTTTTAAAATAAAATAATGCAGTTCCCTTTCGAGGGAACTCGAACTTTGTCAATTCATAGATGCCACCTACGTCACTACCAAATGGAACGCCGCCATATTTACGTCCCATCTCGCCCGGTATGGCCGCCCAAACCATTTGAACGAGAGAGAGAGACAGAGATACCTAGAGAAAATTTTTATTTTAGGCTCCGATCCTTATTTGTTACCCCTAGTTTTCTTTTGTCCATTATTATCTGCCCCAGACATGCCCCAATTTACCTTCCATGATATATATATATATATATATATCTTGTGCATAACCCCTCCCCATACAGTGGGGATCGGTTGAAGGCTTTCAAGAGTACCGATGCATATCAATATGCTGTGGCTGGATGGGTAAAAGACGTAAATGAGACATGATACAATATGAGACATGACAGCTAACCACTTCTTTCTTCTATCCTTTTCTTATACAACCTCTTTCCTCTTTCGGGTTCCTCTTTCGGCTGTTGTTGCAGCCAACTGCACAACATATTGCAGGCATTACTGAGACCGTCGGTCGTAAAGATGGCGGCGCAAAGCTACAGTGACGTGATGACGTAGAGTGTGACGGCACACCCGGAAGCTACAAAGGGACGCCGTCACAAAACAGTGTTAGCTTTTGCTCTTCAGCAAGTGCTCTCTGTTGTGTGAATCGTCTATTTGGTGTTGTTTGTCTAATATGTATATATCAAAAGAGATGGCAAGCGAGCAGTTTCATCAGTGTGTGCAGACCCTGCCCTCGTTATGTTACGGGTGGACACACACACGAGATGTGTGTTTACTGTTTGGGAGCGCAGCACGCCCGGGCAGCCCTCGAGAGGGTTGTTTGCGGCCACTGTGAAGCACTATCGATCAGAGTGCTGCGCTCCCGCCTGGCTATATTTGATGAAGCCGGCCAGCCTCGCGCTCCCCGCGGTTTGGGTCCGGCTGCGCGGCGGCTCAGATCGTGGAGCTCGCAGAGAGATAGCAGACGCGATCGAGACTGCTTCGGCACTTTGTCGATCCTCGTCTGATAGTTCACATCCCCTCCTTCCCTGTGCGGAAGCCCGTCCGGCAGCTTCTTCCGCTCGGGTCGAGGATCCAGTGTAAGCTGTAGAAACTGGAAGAACTGTGAGGAACGACTACTCCTTGAGAAGACAAAGAACCTTGCTGGAAATTAACATTTGAACTCACTCTTGTGAAGGTAGCATCACCATCCGAGACGAAAGTCTCACCTCCGAATCATCCTAATCTACATTTCTTCCCCTCATCCCCTCTCTCATGCTGAGACCACCAAAGTTCACCCAATAATCTATATGGTTTAATGTGAATAATTATCATACAGTATTATACATGTTTGGTATCATTTGAAATGTCTCAGTGCGACTGGTACAAAGGTCTCATTCTCAAAGAAGTAAAACAAGAGTTAACAAGGTTTTTAAGAGTTTAGAGATAACATGCACACAAAGAAGGATGGGAGAGTTACACCCTCCTGTTCTCAAAGGGTGTGAACTCTGAATGCAAATTACCATTGTTAGCAAATGTTTCCATGTGAAGAGCTATATAATGAAATGCAAATGAAGGCTCAGGGCCTTTTTAAACTCAAAGTTGGCCCATGATGCTAAGAGTGACCAAAACTCTTAGCATCATGTATTTCAATGTTAGGTTCGCATCTTTTCTCTTTATTCTAGAGCATTCGATGTTATTGTATTGATTATCTTTGAACTGATTATGAAATTGGCATGATACATTTACCTGACATAACAACGCTATCTCACGACCAATTCGTACGAATTCGTACGAGTGATTAAAAGGTGGCTAATTCGTACTAATTCATACGACCTCACTCGTATGAATTCGTACGATTTGTCTAAACCCACGTGATGGGTAGGTTTAGGGGCGGGGTCAGGGGTAGGTCATTCGTATGAATTCATATAAATTTGGTAACTCGTAAAATATGTACGAATTAGCAAAAATCGTACGAATTTGTACGAGTGAGGTCGTATGAATTAGTACGAATTAGCCACCTCGTAAAATTCGTACGAATTGCCGTGAGATCGGGCTGGACATAATCAGTGCTCGAAGTGGGGCGGTATTCACCGGTACACAGTACCGGCAATTCTACGTTTTACTCTTAAGCGTACCTGCACTTTTTCTTGCGTAGCGCTACTTCACCTTCGGGTTACCCGTCTGACTCTTTAACCATTAGGCCATAACTGATAATCCTGATAATACCAACCACTCTGCAAAAAGTTATTGAAACCTGTGAAATTATGTGAATATGACAGTACAGAAACACTTAATCTGTTGGATAGAATTATAGAATTATAGTTACTTATGAAGATTACAAAGAGGGTTACATCTGAATATTTTCTGTATTCATTTATTGCTTTGCCTGTTTTTTAATGTGCACAGTGTCTCCTGCCATATAAAGGCTGTTTAGTAAAGCAATGCTATTCTGATGCTTTTGATTGGTTCTTTAGGCTACAATTAATCAAACAAGAGTTGCCACGTTAGGGCGAGTGATAAAAATGCGTATCAGTGCTGGAAATTAGAAAAGTAATCAAATGTAATCAGTTACTTTAATCAAGTAATTGAAATAGTTACACTACTTATAACATTTAAAATAATGTAACTTGTAATCTGTAACCTATTACATTTCCAAAGTAACCTTCCCAACACTGATTACACACTGTTTTGTTTATCATAAGTACCTGTTATATACCAGCCCGTTCTCATCCTTTGGCGTCATACATGTGACGCTTTGTACATTTCGTTGAAATCTTACGCACATGGCATCCTTTAGCATCAATATGAGACGCAGAACCCAAGGCGTCATACAGGTGACGCTCGTCTAAATCCGACGCACATGGCATCGTTTAGCGTGAATATGAGACGCAGATCCCAAGGCGTCATAACCGTACCCTACCCCAGACCTAAACCTACCCATAACAGTGCGTGTTATATTGACGCTAAAGGATGCCCTGTGCGTAAGATTTCGACAAAGTGTCATATGGCGTCACCTATATGACGCCAAAGGATGAGAATGCGTTGTATATACACAGTCAGCAACACACACAAACAAATTAAAACATTTGCAGCACTTGTCCAACACATTTGTTACCATTATGTTCAGTTTTATTCAGTTCAAGGACTTTTAGTTTGTTATTCTTCACAGTTCATGCCTTGCTTTGTTTGATTTCACATCACTCTTTAGTTACCATGGTCACATCATTATTAGTTTGTTTGTTCCAGCTGTGTACTATTAGCCCGCGACACCTGTGGC